GCTCAGAGACCCAGGTCGTTGCACGCATCTCTGCTTGTCTAGCTGACATCTCTCAGTGGATGTCTGCTCACCACCTCAAGCTCAACCTTGACAAGACTGAGCTGCTCTTCCTCCCGGGAAAAGATTGTCCCACTCTTGACCTAACAATCAACATCGGCACCTCAGTTGTTTCCCCGACTCAGACTGCAAGGAATCTGGGTGTGACCCTATATAACAACCTGTCCTTCACTGCAAACATCGCTGCTACAACCCGTTGCTGCAGATACACGCTTTACAACATCAGGAAGATACGTCCCCAGCTGACTCAGAAAGCGACTCAGGTTCTGGTCCAGGCTCTCGTCACCTCACGCCTAGACTACTGCAACTCCCTCCTGGCTGGTCTACCTGCATGTGCCATCCGACCTCTGCAGCTCATCCAGAATGCAGCGGCTCGTCTGGTCTTCAACCTTCCTAAATTCTCCCACACCACTCCGCTCCTCCGCTCCCTTCACTGGCTTCCGGTAACTGCTAGAATCCACTTCAAGACACTGGTACTTGCTTACCATGCTGCGAATGGATCTGGCCCTTCCTACATCCAGGACATGGTTAAACCGTACACCCCAGCGCGTGCACTACGCTCTGCATCAGCCAAACGACTCGTTGCGCCCTCGCTGCGAGGGGGACCCAAGTTCCCATCGGCGAAAACACGTGGGTTTGCTGTCCTGGCTCCAAGATGGTGGAATGAGCTCCCCATTGACATCAGGACGGCAGATAGCTTGCACATCTTCCGGCGCAAACTGAAAACTCATCTCTTTCGACTCCACTTCGAGCGTTAGAACTATTAACGAAGCACTTTTATACTAATAAAGGACTGGCTTACCTAAAGCCAGTTGAGTAGCACTTGAAATGTTTGGCTCTATGAAACCTGATGTACTTATATGATTCTGTTTTCTTCAAGGTTGTGTCTTCCTGGTCGAATGTACTTATTGTAAGTCGCTTTGGATAAAAGCGTCAGCTAAATGCAATGTAATGTAATGTAATGTAATGTCTGATTTTCAAGACCCGCTCCCGCCCCGCACCCGCAACGTGCAATACCGAACCCGCCCCGCTACCCGCACATATTGCCAATTAGTTCTGCAAACCGACCCGACCCGTCGGCACAAGATCCGCAACCCGACTCAAACCCGCATAGCCTATATATGAGCAGTGAAAACGTGCAATTATTAACACACGCAGTTGCATATTTGGCTCAAAAAGCGTGGGATGTTGGTTATTTTCTCCATCTAGGATGACACCAAAAGCCTCCCAGACGTTGGATTTCGCTCTTGAGGAAGTGTTATTGACAATGCTGTATTCTCTGAGCTCCGCCTTCACCTCAGCCATTTCGAATGTGGCGCACTCAGCAGCGGATTGATGCACTGCAGAGGTTATGATTATGCGCGGTCCCGCGGGGGAGAGGTCTGAGGATTTAAACATTAAACTCAATTATTATTATTTTAATATATTTATTATGCAACACCCGACCCGCATCATCTTTGTTTTACCCAGAACCGAACCCGGATAAAAGCGTTTTAAAAAATACAACCCGCAAATCACTTTTTTTGCGGGTCACCCATCGGGTACCCGCGGGTACCCGACCCGATGCAGGACTCTGGGCTGAGGCTGATGATGTGCGAGATCTACAGGTGTATGCTGCGAGGCAGCTTTAGAATGACACTGAACGTACTCGCTAGTTCTTTCGTGAGGAGATTGATGTGGAAGAGATCCAAGGTTTGAGGCCCCAGAGCCTCTGGAGCCTCCGTCTATCTGTTCTGCTGCAGACTCGAGAGCATCAGCCTCTGCTTCTGCTGCTTAAATCTCTTTGTCTAGCTTTAGCGTAGCAAGAGCTGCATCCATCCGAGCCTTTTCCATTAAAAGCTCATTTTCTTTCTGAACGAAAGCTGCACAGGCTCGTGCAGCTAGAACTTTAGCTCGTGCTTTTGATTATGTTTTGGAACTTGAGCTGGAGCTATTGGCTACAGACCTGATAAGAAGGCCCCTGTCGGATGATGGACCCGCCTGTTGCTCTTCTGCGTGAGGTGTAGCATCCATCATGTAGCTTTATGGGAATGTCAGGCTGGCGCAGCTGAAGTTGCTTTGAAGAAAACCTCTCTTGTTTACGAAGGCGTCTGCTGTGTAGAACCCGCTGTGATGCTGTTTTTTCACTATTCTGGTCCCTGGACACGTAGCAATGATGTACACATCGCCAGATAGTTAAACAGTTTATTGTTGTAATCTTGTGAAACTGAAAGTAAAAAGCACAAAGCATTGCAATCAACACAATGACACGTCACAAAAATATAAACTTAAATGAAATCTATAAACATAGATGAATCATTAAACTCACAAACAATGCCTCTCCAAGGTCCACATGAGCAGATGGAGCCGATGTTTGAGGAGGTACAATAACTTGTGGCACTCTAACATGGCCGCTGACCTTTCAACTCAGTCATGTGACTATGATAATGTGACCTCTACTGACCAATGAATACACTTACATCCAAAAATAGCATGAAAAGGCTGCAATCAAGCCAGTTGCCTTTAGGAGGTGCTATAACAACAAAAAACGAAACCTCCCATTAACATAGTGAATGTTTCGCTCTGCAGCTGGATGAGAGCACGGATGTAGCAAATGTCGCAGAATTGCTTGCATACATCAGATTTATTTCAGAAGACAACTTTGTTGAGGAAATATTATTTTGCAAAGCACTGGAAGGTAGGACCGCACGAAGAGACATTTTCCAAGTTTTAGATGAGTACATCATCTCAAATGGACTTGATTGGTCTCGTTGTGTGGGTGTGTGTTCAGATGGGGCAGTGGGGCTGTGACCGGCAAAAAAAGCGGAGTGACAGCTTTGATCAGGCAGAAGGCCCCAAATGTAGTGGCAACACACTGCATGTTCCATCACGAGGCACTTGTACACATCATTTAAAAAAAAAATTGCAACAGGGGGGTCCCCGCCAGAGGATAATGCTATATCGGGGTCCTTGGCATGGTAAAGTTTGGGAACCCCTGGGTTAAGTGACCCCTTCTCCCTATCATATATTGGTTGTCAATAATATGCACCTTTACAATGGGTGATCCAAGGCCCCACATTTGTTTACACCCAATTATATTGTTTTTTCAAAATTAAATTAGCTGTTTTTTATTTTTATTTAAACTCATACATCTTGGACTACAAATAACAGTTATTTCCCCATAAAAAGTTCTCATATGGTAATATATGCTACAATGGTGAAACCAATACCTCAAATTGAAATACTATATTTTGTTTAGAACTAGCTTTCCCTTCAACATGACCTATATAAATACATATGTCTGATTTTATGAATGGTTACTAAAACTCTCCCTTTAAACTGTAGGTCAATACTGTAACAAATTAAAACACTACCAAATTCACACTTGAATAAAAACTCTAAAAGAATAATTTGTAAACATGATGAAAAGATTGAAGAATATGTTCTAGGCAGAATTTCAGAAAATGTGCTTATTAAGGCATTTTGTGTTTATTTATGCTATACAACATTTCTATGGGTATTAAGGGGTACTGAATCCAAATCTGCTGTATATGAAGCTCAAACATTTCCCAGAATGCCTCAAAATTGAGTTATCCAACATGGATCACCGCCAGGCTGAAATCTATTTTAGTACATTACTTTTTGACTAAACAAAGTACAAACTAGAATTAAATGTGTTTTATATATATTTTAAATATGAAGCATTTTCATTGTGGGTTATACAAGAATATAATTGATTATATTTGATTATAACTAACTTTCGTTTTAATTATTCAACCTAATATGAAGATCTCAACACACAAAAGGACATCGTATTTACAGGGCTACATTTACATACCTAGAGACATTGACAAGTACCAACAGTATATTTATATCTCGCCCTGTCAATAAGCCTCACCTTCTTGGCAAAAACCTTGGTGTTAGGCGGTGTTATGCATGCCCACCGAGATATGCATGTACGTCGCGGGAGCGTGCACAGCGTAAAGCAAAAACTCCCAGACATTTCAATGATCTGTACGGCAAAGTACGGTATGGAAACTATATCATTTCCTTTTGGAGGGCATGCATAACACGGCATAACACCAGAGCCTCGCTGCGGGGAAACGTTGGCGCTGTTCCGAGTTTCTTCTAATCTGTCAAAATGACAGACTGCTTTCAGATTTTTCCGTCATTGTTAAATAAAATATTCGGTTAACGCGACCACTGCTGTCCCAGCAACATCAGTACCAAGCGAGAGAGTTTTTTCCAGAGCAGGGGATATTGTAAATGCCCAAACATCCAAGCTTATAAATACCTGGAAATGTGGACATTCTCATATTCCTAAAAACCTGTCTGATGATGCTGAGTGAGTTACTTAGTGAGTTTGAGTTGAGTTACTTGAAAAACTAAAGTGAAACTTGATTTATTTTATTGCGGGCTCTGATTATTAAATGTCCTTGTTTATTTGTGAGATGCAGTGGCACAAAGAAAATGCCTACTTTGTTTGGTAATACTAGTAGGTACAAACACTGGTTGTTCTTGTTCCAGTCTGTTACTGTCACTTTGTTTTTGATACTTTATTTAATAGAGAAAAATGTTCTTTATTTTTGAATATCGCGATAAATACCGTACCGTGAGTTTTTGGTATCGTTACATCCCTACTGATGACTGCTGCAGGCATCAACTGACTGTCTGGTGTGAAGCGACGTGACTCAGTTGGCACTTTAGTCCTTATAAATTCAGATTGCGCACTAAAACAAATGGATGGGAACATGTTTAGCGAATGACAGAGATAATTGAATTGAAGGAGAGGGAGCGGAGGAGGAGGTATGGAGATGCATTAGGCAGCCAAGGGAGGGGAGAGCGAGGGGTGAGAGAGGTATGAAGGGGGTTGGGGATGTGAAGAGAGAGAGAGAGAGAGAGAGTGAGCATGGTCCAGGCTCTCTGCACTGTGGAGCCAATCCCAGACAGTAGGACACCGAGAGAGGACGGACTCTACAGCAGAGGATAAACCTAGTCTGACCGCAGCAGGAGGTACAACAGAAGAAGAACAAGTAGAATAATAAGAAGAAGAACAAGGAGGTTCATTTATTTTCTTCCACCATCAGCCCCAGGAGCCAACGGTGTCATTGCGACAGCCAAGGAGCACGAGCAGTGTGTGTGTTAGTGTGTGTGTGCTGAAGATTCCTCTCGGCTGAATTTGGAGTAACCCTGGGATTGTGATCAGGAGGAGATGCTCGCTGGTGTTTGGTCTGTGGCACCTCCTCTCTCTCTCTCTCTCTCCGGTGCAGACGTCTTTGTGTGCTCGCTCTCTCGCTCCCGGTTCGGTGGAGGGACCCCCGCTCTGCTCTCTCCTCTCTGCTGTGACTCTGCCGCGGCTACAACTGCCGCTCGCTGGCTCGCCCACGGAGAGCTGAAGCAGATGGGTGAGTTTGTGTGATTGAGTGAGTGTGTGTGATTGAGTGAGTGTGTGTGATTGAGTGAGTGTGTGTGATTGAGTGTGTATGTGGAACAGAGGGGGGTCGCTATTTTCCTGCTCTCCTCTGCTGCTTTTCACCCCTGTCTTTGTGGGTTATTCTCCTCACTTCTTCTCTTCCTCTGTGTTGTTGTTCCTTCATTTCCCTTCATCCATCCGTCACCCCCCCTCGTCGACCATGTATCAGACAATCCGTGTCCCCCTTTTTCCATCATCTACCTTCCTCTTCCCCTTCGTTTCCACATTTTGCCTCTTCTCGTCCCACCTTCGTTCTTCTCTTTCACCAAAATCACTCATTTGCACCATCAGCCAAGCGAGCATGCAGGAAAATGCAACCACACACACACACACACACACACACACACACACACACACACACACACACACACACACACACACACACACACACACACACACACACACACACACACACACACACACACACACACACACACACACACCTATGCACGTATACATCCTAGCATAGTAACCTAGAAGACGTCTGAGAGGTGTCAGGCTTGACATAAAATCAACAGTCTCGAGTTGAACCCCCAATAATCCCTCCATCACTCTCTTCATCCATCTATCCGCTGCCTCATCACCCCCGCCAATACACACCACCTCCACATCCTCCAACACATACCGCGACCCGCTTTAACTCTTTCGAACTCAAACAAACAAAACAGATGCACGCTCACACACACACTCTGATAAACGCCAGTCATGCTACAGTTAGCATATAGTGTGAGGAACTAATCATCAGCACACACAGTGAATCTGATGGCTTCAGTCACACATACACTCACACACACAGACACCAGGCGGGAAGTTGATTCATTCACGTGATAAATTATTCATGAGAGGAAAAGTGCTCACATCCTTAAATGTCCCATGTGGTCCAATTTGCCGCTGACATTTTTATTAATTGTTTGATTGGGTTGGAAACACTAGCCGGATGTTTAACACATCTTTCATCAGCTCCTGTTGGCCTCCATAGTGTCTGCAGGTCCAGACCAATGAGTGTGTGTGGCAGGATGAAGAGACTGGAGGCCTGATGTCAGTGTCCAACCTGTTGCCTATGAAATATCACAGGTTGTGATTTTGTGTGTTCAATAACAATACATATCTGAGGGTTTTCAAAATGCCAAATGCAGAGAACATTGGACGGTCCACTTGTTGGCAGTTTACAGTGAGGCCTTTCATTTTTCATTTCATGTGTGATTTGTTAAAGTGTTTGTCGTAACACTTCAGAAGATAAGTTTTGACTGTACTTGGCTTAAATCAGAAACAAAGATTTCACAGTTTAACACAATTTAGTCTCAAAACAAGTTTTATTGTGGAATTGTATCTGCTAATGGTCATTTGTAGTTAACAGAACTAAATATGAACATCCAAAAAAAGCTATTAAATAGTCCTTAATTGGAGATTGTTCTATGTATTTTAAAGGTAAAAAATAAACTTGCTATCATTCTTAAAATAAGTCTGTATGAAATTGAAATAGCATTTTTTAACATGGTTTTGGTTAGATTCCCGAAATAAGGTCTGTGGTTAACACAAGATTAAGAGATGTTGACAACTTGTCCTACAACATCAAATACATCATTACATGTAAATGTTTGTGATTGTCTGAAGCTCCTATGTGTCATAAACAAGATTAGCCGCCTTTAGCTTATCTGTGCTGAGTAGAAGCCTGGTGATTGAGTTTGTTTATAGCCTGACGTTAGCTTTGATTTCTATGGATTTCATTTGTGCTTCAGAAATCTTAAAGAGGTGTTAATACGAGGGGATGATCTGCTGAACCAAACCTGTAAGTATCGTAAAGGTTGGTTTGCCACAAAAAGAAGGTTTGTTTCTGCAATAGTCCAAAATCGAATGGAAATATCCTATTGCTGTCCGTCGAGAGAACCCTTGTAATGATGCTAACTTCTGGGTCTGAACGATACATCATCACTGCACCACTCCATAAGGACTCTCGCATTCAAGATTTTCATCTCTGACGCTAGCCAGTCAATAACCGAAATTAAGTGGTAACTACATTTTTACTTTTGTTATATTTGCACTTTTAAAACGCAATGTTTTGTGAGTGTCAGCCCTTAACCTTTGCTAAGTTTTAAGCTTGGGAGTCGGGTTGAGTGAACGTCTGTTTGATGCTCATTTTTAGTTTAGTTAATATTAATAATTGCAGTGAATTGCAAATCAGTGTTCAGACCCACATTTGGTAACCAAAGCTTTAAGGCTTCTTTAATACCATGCTTGCCATATATTTTTCTATGTGCTTTAGCTAAAATAAAATGTCTTTAAACTGGATGAAATGGACTTATTGCATACCTGAAGCAACAAAGTTAGTTGTGTGCTGGAACATTGCTAATTTTAGCATCTCCACTTTTCCTTCTTTATATGCCTTTAGTTTGTACCCTCCACAACACAGCACATATGTAAGTGGTGTGTAAAAGCCTGAGTGGGCTCCCCTGCAGGATGTTCTTTGCTGTGATGATGTGTATTATGTGTACTTAAAGAGCCTGTGACACGGGTTTCCCCCATCATCCAAACCCATCAATTTGAGTAAATATTGTCCCCTTGAAAACCGTTACTGAACTGATTTTGGATATTTGTACTTTGATAACCATTAATCTGCCCTTTAATGTTGACCATTTTCTGGATCTTCTCGGGGATTCTTCAAGTCCCGCCAAATGATGTGTGACGTCATTGCGGGCACAGCGCTCCAGCTGCACCGTTCAGGATCCCAGCATCTGCATGCAAACGCACGATGGCGCACACAGCAGCAAGCTCAGACAGCGATGACAGTTTAATTTTGAACGTGTCTGAGAGCTCATATGAGGCTGAAGGATCGCTTTATGTTGTATCTGTTAGAAGTTTAGGAATTAGGTGCGTCAATATGGGCGATCATACGGTCATGTAGCCAGTGGTGGAATGGGACTAAAAATCATCCCGGGACTCTCGACCGGCCCACTTCGGTACCGCTAGTAAATTGTCAACGGGGGGAGTGGGGGATGTGCTAGTGATTTATCCGACCGGCCCACTTCGGTACCGGCCCATCGGGATTCGTCCCGATGGCCAGTCCGCCACTGCACCCAGCCCACGTAAACTGTCAACGGGGGGAGCCTCGCTGCGGGGAAACGGTGGACCTAGTGTCCCGATCGGAGTGGGAATAATAATAATAATAATAATCCGTGCATTTTATCCATTAATTTCCCCAACATTGTGGTAAAAAAACCACACGTTTAATCCATGTTGGTGTACTACAACTACAAAAAGCATCGGTTTGTTTTCTCATCAGGAAATGCAGACCGGCTCAAACAAACGATTTGTAGTCATCACCCTCACGATCATTTAATGTATCATATGTTCGCCGAATTGACATGAAAGCACTAATAAATGTAGTTTCATCCACTTTAGTTTACAACTACAAAAATAATCGATTTGTTTTTATATCACATCCCACGGGAGGAAATTTAGTAGCTCTCACTACCGATTTGTAATCCTAATTTAATCATCATCTTCATCACGATCATTTATGTTTATGTTCGCCGAATTGACATGAAAGCACTGACAAATATGAATATACTGTAGTCAACTTCATTACAACGTTATTAACGTGCCTACAGTAAACTCAGTAATTCACCATTTCTACGCATGACAACACACTTTGTCCGTGTTTGGCTCTCTCGCCGCACAGTGAAGCGTTCCCGCATTGACGTCACTTCCGGCTTCCCCCAAAACTTCAAAATGAGTCGAAGGAATTTCCCCGCGATGTTCGATGTTTCAGGCTTTTGGATGTACTCCTCCAACCAGGAAGGTTTGCTGCACACTGACTCAACCTACACAGATCTGTCACAGAGATCCAGCACGGTGTGTGTGTGTTGTTCACCAGCAGTTCAGATGATATCGACTACTCACATTCACATTACTGTAGATCAAGGTTAATGATTAAAATAATCAATACTCTTCTTGGTCATTTACCTCTCTTACAGAAAATGTAATGACTGACATTGAGATCAGAGATAGTATGTAAATACTTCAGTGTGCTGGTGTGTTTCACATCCAATTCAGACTTCAGAGTGTGTTCCCTGCAGATTGATTGTCAATAATGAATGCATGTGACACGCACACACCTCTCATTTTCAGTTCGAGCCTGCATAGAATATTAATCAAGAAACTGGGTATTATGGAAGAGTCTAGTGCAGTGCCTCTGGATTAGCTCTGCACTTGTTTACGATAGCACTGCTTCGGCGTACGCATCATGAGTGAAAACAGTAACCCTAAAAAATTAAAAAAAGTGTTTTGCCTGTCGCCATGTGGAAACAGTCGCAAAAGCATTAATTAATAGATTTTAGTCATCAATATCAGTATGTAGTTATTCCAGCATCATTTTGATACGTGTATTTCAATTACATTAACGTAAAATATGTTTATTTTGTTGTTGGTATCTACATGGAGATAGGCTCCGCCTCCTTGACAGCGAGTCTAGTTCGAGTGACGTGAGTAAACACAAATGATGCCACGGTCAAACCTGCACGAGTAAAGCGATGCAAATCTTCGCTTCGTGTCCGGTGTGAGCGAACTTTCAGTTTTCGAGTGACAGATCCCGTGCGACACAGAGCGAGGTACCAGAAAGGGAAGGTAATAAAATAGAGATATTAAAGGAGAGGTGAGAACATGCTGGTGACTGATGGAGTTGTAAATTCTCTCCAAATGGCGGTGGAAGATATCAGGAGCTCAGACTTCTGTCTCGCGTCCCTTTTGTCTCTGCGTGGCTTCAGTTTATTAACCATCGTGATGCCAACAGTTATATATCACCTTTCACCCCTCAGCCTGTCCTCTGCTCGGCTGGTACGGAGGAGCATTCATCATACCTCCACGCCAGATGACATCAGTTAGAAAGTCGATCACTGCCGTTTGAAAAGCCATTCTCACAGCGGATATGGCAGA